TGTTAGTCTCAAAGGTGCCACAGGACCCTCTGTTGCTTTTTTACAAATAATAATAGGGAGCTTGTCCACAACAGGATGTGGGCACCTAACTGCCATGGTAGGTACCTACGTCCCAGAATCAGGCCAAACTGGGATTCATGAGCCCCCCGCTCAGCAGCTGTCAAACGCTGTAAGCACCTAAACCCTCTGGGCACCACATTTTTGCAATAAAAGCTGTCTCGTTGCCTATGTTTCTGCCTGCGTGCGTACGTGCTGCAGCCCCACGCTCGGCGTCCAGCTGTCCCAGCGTGACGTGTGAACTGGGGGAAGACAGGTGACCCTCCGCCTAACTTCCTGTGGGACCCAAGCCGGCAGGTGTGCTTGGAGCTTGCTTTCTTGCTCAGGGCCCTAAAGACCTTATGTAAAATGGCAGGGGGAGGGTAGGTGGCAGGAAGACCCCCCTCATCACTTCTAGCCAAGGGATTAGGCTGTTCCCCTGGGGTGTGGGGGAGATCTCAGTTCAAGTCCTGCTCTGCCTGCTGAGAAGGGATTTGAACAGGAATCAGCCACCCCCCTGGGCAGTACCCTCACCACTGGGCTACGGGGCATTCTGGTGGGGATTTCCCCTGTGGCTAAAGAATGACACCCTAAGAGCCAGTGGCTTTGGGAACCTCGCCCAGAGCTTACCGTGCATCCAGAAGCTTGGGATCCAGAGGCGGGTACATCGACCTCACAACATCATCCACCCTAGGGGGAAGAGAGAGAGCGACCGTTGCTTGTTTCGCACTGTATTTTGCAAGTGCCCTGGTAGCAGTTTGGTTTTTTCTCTCAGCGAGCACATTTCAGAGCCCGGCATCTCTCCCGTTGGCTGTGAACCCCTACAGCGTAGGAAGGCACCTAGGGCCAGTGTTGCAGGAGTTCCCACGGGGGGGGGCTGATTTTCATAAAAGCCAAGCTCCCATTTGGCACTCAAGGGAGTACTGCCCAGATCTGCAAAAGCACCTTTTGCCCAGCGGCCCTCACTGAGATCAAAGGGTGGCAATTTCAAAAGTGTCTAAGTGATTTAGGAGCACAAGGCCCACTGGAGGCCAGTGGGAGCTTGGTACTTCGACTCATATGCAATCCACAGCCAAGCCAGACACTTATTGAGGGGCCTAACTGGAGCAGAGCTCTTCCGAGACTCTGGCCCCAGTTGTGGGTGCTGAGCCCTGGGAAATCGGTTCTTGAGCCCTGTCACAGATGGCACTGGCTTCCAGCTTGCTTTCTGGCTGAAACGCAAAGTGTTGGGTTTGATCCTTAAGGTGACAAGCTCTCTGCTGGGCAGGAAGAGCCACACAGTGTTGCCAAGTCTCATTGATAATTGGTGTTTTTCTTAAAGCCCCAGCTCCTGGAGTCCTGTGATCAGGTGAGACTCTCCGCTTACATTTAAAAAACAAACAAACAAGGAAGGTTCTAGCCCCTGTGGCTCTGGAGAAAGGCTTGGGAATGGGACCCCAATGGCTCAAAGACCAAACAGCAAATAAAAAGCCATTTATTATTGTTAAGATCTCATGGGATTTGGGACCTCACATGAGGTTTGGATGTTTGGAGTCAGCACTACTGTGAATCTGAATTCACCCATGCTGTCATTCAGGGGTTATTGCAGATGCCCCATGTTTCCAGGAGTTGCCTGGCCTTTGGAGCTGCAGATCAAGTTGAAGCTGTGCGCCCTCGGCCGAAATGGACTGCCAATCCCTTCCACTCACCTGGGGCTGATCCGCTTCGCAACCACAATAATGTCACTCAGGCTCGCGGGAGATTTCATTCTGGCCCCAGAGCCCATTGTCATTGCAACGAGCTTCTCTGTCAAAGTATGACAAATCTGTTGAGTGAGAGAAGTGATCAGCTTGGCTCATTAGAGGCTAGTGAGAGAGAGAAGGACTTGGGAGCCTAGTGGTTAGGGTGCTCCCCTGGGAGACACAGCTCTCAGGCCAATGCCTATTTACGGATTTCATACACAGTAGAACAACTTCAACAGGAGAGCTGGTGGGACTCCCACCCCAGAACACCCCCTTGGGGGAAGGGAGATTTGGGTTTGAGTCCTTGCTCCCAACCATTGCAGAGTGGGGACTGCAACCTGGGTTTCCTACATCCCAGGGGAGCTAACCAGCAGGTACTGGGCATAAGGGCACAGTGACTATGCTGGGCTGAGCTGGCCCCAGGAGAGAGTTCTCAGCCGAGAATCCCAAGCAGAGAGATGGGTGCCCAAATCCCTTAGGGGGCAGGTCTTAGGCCCCATCTCTCCCCTCGGCATTTCCTGCTGGCTAGTGTAGATGGCTCCCTGCTCATCTTTCTGGCTTCCGAGAAGCCCATTCTTAGGTGTCTAGCTCTGTCCACGCATCGTACAAGCAGCCTGGGGGCCTGGCCTGGGACTGTGGATTCCCTAAGAGCTGCCACGTCGGAGGGTAAATCTCCTGTGTGGATCGAGCCCGAAGCCTCTGGGAGAATCCTCCAGACCCCTTGCTTATTTCCTGGCTCTGATTCCCTGCACAGCAGCCTGGGTTAATTCACAGGGGAGGCGTTTCTGTGGGGGACTTACCTTGAGAATAGCGATGCAGTGAGAGACCAGGCCCCTGCGAAGAAAGAACGCCTTTGGTTAGAAAAGCTCTGTCTTGTTACTGGCTCTTCTTCTGTCCGCCAGCCTGAGGTGGAAACTTCATCAGCTAAGCATGTCCCATGGGCTCCACAGAGCCTCACTGGTATCATTACAACGTTACTTCACAACCAAGCCCGCAGCGATCGGCTGGAAGCAGGGTGCGCTTGTCTAACAGGGTGGGAAGGCCTGGTCCTCACCTAAAACTGAGGTCAACCTGCCTACGTGGCTGAGCAATGTGAAAAATTCACCCCTGAGAGACGCAGTGTGGACACAGCTAAGTCGTCGGTGGAATTCTTCCACCTCTCTGTTCAGTGCCTCTCGAGGGGGTGGAAAACCCACTTCTGTCACTGTAGCGAGTGTCTACGCTACAGCGCTGCTGGTCATGTAACTGCCTGCTGAGGGAGGAGGTGGGTTCTCCCTCACGTGAGTCTTTCACCCCAGGCTAGAGCTCTCTTTCCAGCAGAGATGTTCTGAGAATGGGGCTCACGTCACCGAGGGCCTTCGGGTGCTGCTCTGCTCAGCACCGGAGCGTTGGCCGGAGGTGTCCTGCCATCCAGTGGAATCCACAGCCCCAAGCGAGGTGCCCATGGGGCCCATACAATGTACAGGGAGGGCTCAGCACCTAAGACTGGGATTCTCAGTGGCCAGCCAGCAGAGCAGGGAGTGGATGCAGAGGACAGGGGCAGGGCTTAGGGCCCAGATCCACCAGGGTACTAGGGCACCCCAATCCCTATAGCTCTGGGTTGTAGGTGTCTGCCTGACAGGCCAGAGGGAGACGCCTCCTTTCCCTCGGGATTCACAGCGTGGACCCTGGCTGCCCTGGAGTGGGTGCCCGAGCCAGGCCAGCCCTTTCTTCTGCTAACCAGAGAGAGCGCGAGAGCCCACCTGGCTACAGCCAGCAGCCCAGGGTCAGTGCATTCCCCTGGGCTGTGCAGACCCGTTTCCAGCCCCTGCACTGCCTGCCTGGGGACAGGGACTTGCTTTCAGCCCTGCCACGTTTCAGGGGAGTGCCCTGACTACCAGGCTATTGCACATGCTGGGTGAGGTTCTCTCAGTCTCTCCCGCCGCGAACACCTAACGAAATGTGTTGAGAGGGAGGGAGCACAGACGGGGCGAGTGCCGGGGTTCAGATCCCTGTTGCATGGCAGGCAGCACCAGAGTGCAAACATGGGTCTCCCACTCCCCCGTGAGCACCCCACCCTTGGGGCTGTGTGTTCCCGCCACACGCGTCCTGCTCTCCATTACTTTTTAGCAGTTTGCGTGGGGTCGGCATGCTCCGAGCACACCTGCCATATGGGCCCCTCTCGGCTCGTCTGAGAATCACGCTGAGGCTTAGGGGTGGGGCACGTGTTGGTCGGGGGGACAACGTCAGGACACAGGCAGCTTAGTGCATGCCGACGGGCGGGAACACAGGGCTGGTCTACATGTAACAATTCGATAGATGCACTCAGGGGTGGGACAAATCCAGGCTCTGAGCGCCGGAGCCCTAACCCCAACTCCTGTTGCTTGGGGAGGTGGATGGAAAACCCCCTTCCAGAGCTGCAGGCTGCGTCTGCACTACAGGGTTATGCCAGCAGAGCTATGGCACCGGACTCTGCTGCTACAGGCCCCATCATGGACACGTCGCCTGAGACTCCTGTGGGGATCAAGGTGCCTCCAGGGCGAAGTAGCAGCTGAGCAGTGTTTCCGAGCGTCAGTGGTGCCCAGATGTTGGATGTAGATGCTTAAAGAAACAGATCAGAGCCTAAGTCCCTTGGTGAGTCTAGAACCTGACCCAGGAACCACTGGGTGGGATGGTCTGGTGGCCCCTTCTGGCCTTAACCTCGGTGATTCTCTGTGCTAGGCAGGACGCTGGACTAGAGGAGGGTCCTTTCTGGCCTTCAAGTCTGAATCTTTACTGGCTTGTTAACCCTCCACCTCTAGCGTCCGTGTTTTGAATGAGAATCACGCACATGCCAAGGAAAGTTCCTCACACCAAACCCCACCAGCCACCCTGACAAGGAATGGCTCCGAGCACCTGGAACCAAGCCAGTAGGCTGCAGCAGGGCCAGAGATTCCAGACCTGGCTTCCATTTTTGCACCTGGGCACAAACATTGTGACCAGGGATTTGTACCACAAGAATTTGGAGTTGCAAATTAGGGCCCTAAACACGCCTGGGTTTGCACAACTGTCAGGTGATGCACATGAGGCACTGGCTGCACTCCTGGCTCAACAGATAGGCAGGCAACGGGGCCCTGAATGATTGTGCTTTGTATTAGAGCAGCGCCTGGGAACCGGACCCCCCCCCAAGGAGTTTACACTCTAATCAGGCAAAGGGGGATGGGATCACCAGGAGAGCTGGGGCTAGAACCTGGCTCTCCTGATGCCTCGGCCAAGGCTGCTCCACTAGACCATCCTGCTGCCTACAGTAAGTGATTTTGCTCTAGATAAAAGCATGCTCCCAAGGCAGGCTCTGATCCAGACGGCAGACAACCGTCCTGGAGCCAAGGAACGTAACCAGGCAGAGCACGGGAGCCCGTTTTAAAGATCACCCAAGAGGCAGCTTTGAAACTCTTACGAAGCATCTTCGATCCAGTCCTCATTCTCCAGAATGGCCTCGATGTGGGGGTTTGTTATCACGACGTCGTCCAGCTCAAGCTCCGAAGGCTCCGACTGCGTCTCCATCGCCCCAATAAGGTCGACGATCGGTCTGAAACAAACAGGAATGGGTCATTCAGCACCTGGCACAGGGGGCAGTCAGGATGGCTAACTAAGGGGCACGTTTTCTAAGCACCCAAGGGCCAGATTTACAAAGGACTCTAGGCCCCTAGGGGCAGTGCCCAAGCCCCATGGATTTCAATACAAGTTAGCACCTAACTTGCCTAGGTGCTTTTGAAAATCCTGCCCAGCTCCTAGTTCCAGCTTTGGGTGCCCAACCATCTTTGTAAGTCTGGCTCAAAGTGACCAAAGAGCCTGGGGGGACAATATCCAAGAGTGCCTAAGGCCCAGAGCCTCAAAGACATTTAGGTGCCTAACTCCCATTGTCAACGGGAGTCACGTTTGAAAATGGGACGTAGGCTTCCAAGTCATTTGGATGCTTCGCAGAGTTTGAGCTCTTAGAGCCTTCTATTTTCAGCTGCATCTGGCCAAGATTTTCAAAAGTGACCTGTGATTTTGGGGGCACAACCTGAGACTCCCCCTTGGTCCTGCTTTTCAGAAGGTGGGCACACAGCACGCAACCTGGGTATAAATGATGTCCCAAGGGGCAGGGCTCAGGCAAGTGTGGACCTTTGGGTTCTGTGAGAAATTCTCTCTTGGAAATGTTAGAAACACGATTACTGACCCACCTGGATTTTCTGTTCTGTTACCCCAGGGATAACCGCCACCGGGGACCCTCCGACAAGACTGAGCGTCCCTGAGTCTGCACAGGCTGAGCCGACAGAGCGGAACGGGGTCAGTTCAGATTCTTGCCCCAACATGTGCTCAGTGATAGCCTGTTGTTCTCACTGGGCGCACAAACTTGTCCACTGGGGAATATTCTCCTTGTCACATATAAAAGTTAGTTTAGTCTGTGTAGGTTCCTCATCATCCCAGTATCTGAGCACCTTCCGGTCATGCACAAAGTGACATGACTGCACCTCTCTCTCCTCCTCCGCCTGGGGCAGAATTGTGCTGTGTCCCTGCTGGGCAGGGACAGGAAATGCAAAGAATCCATCTATGCTGGTTTAAAAGGAGCGTAAGGGAGATGGGCGCTCTGATTTTCAATGGGATCTGAGTTTCTAACTCCTTAGGCCCTGCCGACCCCCCGGTTTGTATAATGCTGGCGGTTAGGGGGAGCGCACCGTGGGCCTAAGGCAATGCACCCCACTGGCCTGGATGTGGGTACACTGGGATAAAGGTGCCTTGTAGCTATTCCCCCACTTCGTAAAGCACTTTGATCTCCGTGTAACCACATCCACACCCCGGGGTGCACTGTCTTAGGCCAGCATTGCAGTCAAAGCCATACAGTTTTCTAATGAGGACAAGGTTTTTCTCTGCCATCACGCTCTCTGCCTTAGTTATCTTACCATTTCTGGGTCAGTCGTCAGCCATCGCCGGCAGGGGTGCTGACTGGCCGTGACTGTTGAGCTGGGCAGACAACCTGACCTGGTAGTGTTAGGTTCTGCAGTGCATCTCCGGTACATCAAGCACTGCCTGGACTCGTCAGTACCAGCAGCTCTGAAATCTGCATGCATTCCTCCCTTCATTCCACTTTTCAATCAGTCTTTTTGCTTCCTCCCTATCAATTTGGTGCAAGTGGAGGAGGGGGCTGGACACTTACTTGGTATCATACTGATTCAGGAGATCCTTGGGCCGGCAGTAGCGCTGCCTGCAAACCACCACAAGCGCCACGAAGGACGCCAGGAAGATAGTAGCCAGCACGCCGATGGCAACTATCACCACGGTTTCCATTTCTGCCGAGCTGCTCTCCTGTGCGCGGTCAGATGTGCAGTTCCATCTCGTAAGGCACCTCCAGAAATGCTTTATCTGGAACAAAGCAGCAGAGTGAGCGCCCAGAGAGCAATGGGGACCCATCGCTGCTCAGATGATCTGGAAAACTCTGAAGAAGCAAATGTCTCCATAGAGAGACACTGGCCAGGGAAACATTTCACAACCATTTTTGAGACTTTCCCCCATTGTTTCCAATTTCAGAATGGAACACTCCAAACTCTTGGACTTGATAGGATCCGTCTATAGCAGGCCAAAGAATGAGTGGGGTAGGGGAGAAAGGGATTCTCACCCAAATTTCCCATTTATTTTTCAAGTGTTCAAAATCCCAAACATAGAAATGTCAAAATTGGAAACATTTTTGATAGCTCTAATGTGTCAGGTCAAGCTACACAGCCAGAGGAGAGCAGCTGGCCAGGAACTGACCAGTGGAACTCTGGCCTGTAGTGTGGGGCTGGGCTCAGTGGCCCAGGGGGTTAATTCCAGTTCTATGTCTTATGTTCTCAATGTTATGCTTCAGGGCTTCAGCCTGTCGCTTGCTGGGGTCAGGAAGGAATTCTTTCCCCCCGAAGCAGTCTGGGTTATTTTTTCTTCCTTCCTCTGAAGCATCAGAGATGGATGCTGCTGAAGACGGGTTCGGAGGTGTCCGTACAGAGAATCCTCTCTCTCAGATGCCTGGCTGGTGTGTCTTGCTCACATGCTCAGGGTCTAACTGATCACCTTTTTCGGGCTCGGGAAGGAATTTTCCCCCAGGTCAGATTGGCAGGACCTGGGGCGGGGATGGGATTCGCCTTCCTCTGCAGTGTGGAGCATGGTTCACAACCCACTAATCAATTCCCTGCCACGGCAGAGGCCTTGGCATGCTGGCATCTCAGTGCCCCCATTCTCTGCCTGTGGCGCACTGAAGTCACTCTCTGGAGGGCCGTAACATTTTTGTCTAATCCAGATCATTGGACTTGGTGCAGAGGCAACTGGGTGGGGTTTAGTGACCGGTGCTGCACAGGGGCTCAGACTGGAGGCTCTGATGGTCCCTTCTGGCCTTAAACTCTACGACTAACTGGGTCAAACCGGGTGACCTGTGAGATCTAGTCAGAGCCAGAGCGACTGGTGCCCACCCTCGCACCAGGACCCTGAGCACGGCAGCTAACAGAGTAACCCACAAGCATGGGTATTACTTATTCTACGGAGGCACCTGCAGACCTCACCCGAGCGCAAGCCCCATTATGCAGGTGCTGTACTAACACCCCTGAGACAGCCCCTGTCCCAAAGAACTGACCATTGAAAAGGCCGGGACTTGCCCGAGGTCACCGGCAGAGCTACAAATAGAAGCCAGGTTCCCTGACTTCCACACCAGAGCCCTACCCTCTAGACCACACGACCTGTCACAGACACAAGGTCTGTAAAGGTGCAGCTCAGGTTGTGGGCACCTCCCAGTGAACTGGCTAAACGCTGCCTCGCAGGAGCATTGGTTACAAAGCACTTAGCTGGATATTCCGGGTTCAGGTCGCTCTTCCCCAGGCAGTCACAGAGATGCCCCGCTCCTAGCATCACCAGCAGAACCGGAACAGCGCCAGGTCCCAAAGCCCTGTCTCCTGGCATTGAGCCAGTTCCACAGCCCTGTGTGTGCAGTCTCCACCTTACACATTTCCCCAGCATGACGGTGCTTGTCCTGGCAGCACCCAGGAACAGCTCCAGGGCCTGGTTGTGCCAGGCGCTGGACACAAGATGGTCTCTGCCCCCCTGGGCTGACAAAGCAAGACTGACAGACAAGGGAGCACAGGGGAATCCTGGTCAGCAGGCAGGGCAGTGGTTCCAGAGCACTGGCAGCCCAGTGCAGGTCAAGTCTTTTGCAGGCATCATGGCAAAGGAGAGTTTTGAGGAGGGCCTGGCCAATGGGGTGGCTTTGCAGGTGCTTGGGGGAGCCCCTCCCAAGCACAAGGGGCAGCGGGGGCGAAGGAGGCTGGGCTCCTGGGCTGCTCAGAGGCGAGCGTTGCCATTGTGATAGGGAACGAGGGATGCTAGGTACAGTGGGGATTGGGGACTTGAACGAAGGCAAGCGGCTTATGCTGGATGCAATGAGGAGGAGATGCGGTCACAGCAGTAGGCTGGAGAAATGAACTCTGCAGCAGCATTCTGAATGGACATGAGCTGGGCAGGACAGCCCGCGCCGAGGCCAGCCAAGAGGATGTTGTGGTGAGCAGGACGCGATAGGATGGGAGCCTGGGCCAGAGCTCCAACCCTGGGGATAGGGAAGGCCGGCGCTCAGAAATGTTCTGCAGAAAGCGCCAGTAAGATTTAGACAGACTGATGTGAGGACCTAGAGAGGGGGCTGAATCCAGAGATGCCCAGTTTCCAGGCCTGAGTGACGGGCAGGATTGTGGTGCTGTCTTCCGTGATGGGGAAAGGAGGTAATGGAGAAGAACTGGGGGGAAGATTAAGAGTCAAGTTTAGCCATGTTGAGCTTGGGTTGATGTCTAGCCATCCGCTAGAAGCCGTCAGAGAGACAGGAAGAAATCTTAGTTTGGGCAGGGGACAGGTCTGGAGCAGAGAGGTAGATCTGGGAGTCAGTCACCAGCCCCAAGGTAGTTGCTGAATTTGTTTGCGGGGGCGACTGCCCACAGATAAAGTGCGGGACCAAGGACGGAGCTCTGTGGAAACCCCCAGAAATCTGGAGAGGCGATGAGGAGGATCTACTGAAGGACACATGGAAGGAGCAATTAGAGAGGTATGAAGAGAACCAGGAGAGGACAGAGCCCTGGCAGCCAAGGGAGGACAAGATTTCATGGTTGATGGTGTCAAAGGCAGCTGATGAGGATGGAGCACAGGGTCTTAGCTTTGCCTTGGAAGAGGTCATTAAAGACGTTGGCATAACAGTTTCAGTGGCGTGCAAGGGCAGCCCCTAGGTTGAAGAGGGTCTTTCATGGGACTGGAGGAAGAACTCCAGACAGCGACTCAATGAGCATACAGATGGAAGGTAGGTGGAGAGCAAACGGGTCCCGGGTGGGTTCTTTGGAGGTGGGAGAGACTAGAGCACGCTTGTATTGTGACGGAACAAGCCAGAGGGGAGAGAGAGGCTCAAGAGAAGAATGGGAGACAAGGCCAGAGGTGGTGATGTTGCTGGACCCCTGGCCAGCTGTCACTCATGATCACTTGTCTGCCAAGGTCATATGACATTGTTTTCACTGGATCAATGCCAGCCTCACGAATTGCCAGCCGGCTGTGGACAGCAGTCACGCTGACGCTGTGGGGAGATGCCTGGCACTGCAGTCCATTCTGTTTGGTGGGTGACTTGGCCAGAACTTGCTGCTTTTTAAACTCTCATGATTATTAAACCAATCTTGTAACTTTTGGGACCTGACTCGTGATTTCTGAACACTTGGGGGGCTGCCTTCATCACCCCAGTCCCTCTCCCTCACCAGGTCCTGGCTGTCCCCCACCCCTGTTCCTAAGAACTTAAGAATGGCTATACTGGGTCAGACCAAAGGTCCATCCAGCCCAATATCCTGTCTACCAACAGTGGCCAGTGCCAGGTGCCCCAGAAGGAGTGAACCTAACAGGTAATGATCAAGTGATCTCTCTCCTGCCATCCATCTCCATCCTCTGACAAACAGAGGCTAGGGACACCATTCCTTACCCGTCCTGGCTAATAGCCATTAATGGACTTAACCGCCATGAATTTATCCAGTTCTCTTTTAAACCCTGTTATAGTCCTAGCCTTCACAACCTCCTCAGGCAAGGAGTTCAACAGGTTGACTGTGCGCTGTGTGAAGAACTTCCTTTTATTTGTTTTAAACCTGCTGCCCATTAATTTCATTTGATGGCCCCTAGTTCTTATATTATGGGAACAAGTAAATAACTTTTCCTTATTCACTTTCTCCACATCAGTCATGATTTTATATACCTCGATCATATCCCCCCTTAGTCTCCTCTTTTCCAAGCTGCTTTAATCTCTCCTCATATGGGACCCGTTCCAAACCCCTAATCATTTTAGTTACCCTTTTCTGAACTTTTTCTAATGCCAGTATATCTTTTTTGAGATGGAGACCACATCTGTATGCAGCATTCAAGATGTGGGCGTACCATCGATTTATATAAGGGCAATAAGATATTCTCCATCTTATTCTCTATCCCTTTTTGAATGATTCCCAACATCCTGTTTGCTTTTTTGACCGCCGCTGCACACTGCGTGGGAGTCTGTCTGCTGCTGCCCTCAGTCCAATTCAGCTGTATGTCACCATGGCCCTGACCCAGCTATTTGAGACTCCCAGAGCAATTCCAAGGGGGCTTCTTTTTATTGGTTGATTTGTTTTTAGCTTCTTTTTCAAAAATCTGAGTTTAGAATCTGCTAAGCTGCAGGAAATTGCCCCGGGTCTTTGCCTGGGGAAGATCCCAGAGTCGTTAGCCCACGGAAATCAGGACTGTGTTATTATTGTATCTTTATTGTCTCTGTCTGGCATCCCTCAGCCTTCCCTCTGTTTGCCCAGCGCTGGGCCTGCTTCACAGGGACACGCAGACCCTGGGACAGGTCCACCCAGCACAGGCCCGTGGACGTACCTGTATTGGGGCCAGGCCTCAAGCACACAGAGCCCAGTCAGTGTCTGGACCTGGCTTGGGCCCAAATAGCACAGGTCCCCGACCCCATGAGCACACGCGGTATGGGAATCCCTGAGCACCCCAGCTGGCGGGGAGGGGACGTGCACTGTTCTTGAGAGGTACAGAAAGATGCTGGGGCGCCAGGGAGCCGGGAGGGGGAGTGCAGCATGGGGAAGAGCCCTGCACACTATTCTAACAGAGTTCCTTGTTCTGTGTCAGAAAAAACATTCACACAGGGGCCCAGACAGCTGAGGGATCCAGGAGTGCCCAGACCCAGTCCAAGCCCAGACCGCACCAAGTTCTGGTAGCCCAGACCCCACCCAGGCCTGGCCTAGACGCCAAAGGGACCATGGGATACCCAGGCCCGGCCCAGACGGCTCAGGGACCGTGGGATACCCAGGCCTGGCCCCAGAGCACCAGGTGCAAAGTGCCGCGGGTTCCCTCCAAACTGCACGGAGAGCAGCCGGTCCCAGCCCTGGTGGCACAGGGACCCATGAAAGGGGCAGGGAGCTCGGCCAGCTGCCAAGCTGAGCTGGGACAATCTGGTTTGCAAGCCCAGAGCCCTTGAGCAGAGCAGGTGATTGCTGCTCTCGCAGGGCCGGTGCCCTGCCCTCGGGGTCTCGGCCCTGGGGAACCTGGGCAGGCAGGGATGGGGAGAGCAAGGAGGGCCATAGGGTGAGCTCAGAAAGATGGTCCGATCCTATAAACTGGAGTAAAGCTCCAAGCTTTCCTACCTGACTGCCAAGGAGCACAGCCAGCCAGCCGCCAGCACTTCCGCAGTGCCGGGGAAATGGAGCAAACACTCGCAGCTCAGCCTGACCTTTGCCCCAGTGATTAATATCCCAGCTGCTGCAAACCCAGCAGGGATGGTGCTGCCTGGCTGGGAGGGCTGGGGTTGCAGCGTCGCGCCTCCTCCAACCTGTCACCCACACTGCAGCGAATAGTGGGGAGGCCAGGCCTCTTGCTGCATCGGCCCCCCACCTGCTCCCTCTGGCCTGTCCCTGGCAGGGCCCGCAGCCCCTAGTTCCTCCCTTTGGGAGCTCACCACTTGCTTTCTCCTCCCCATGTGGTTATATGGTCAGCATTTGGTGTTGTCTCAAGCCCCAGCTGCCGGAGTCAGGTGATCACGAGAGACACTTTCCTTGCCAAGAAAAAGTTTCTAGCTCTCCTGGTTGTGGAGCAAAGCTGAACACATGCCCCCACCACCCGTGCTCCAACACCAGAAGCCAAATCTCCCACTCATCCCACAAAACCCTTGTTATTTAAAAAAAAAAATGCATGATTTGTCAGGGCCAAACTCATCATTTTGGCCCTTTGTGGGTCCAAGTCTGTCAGCTCTTCCAGGTGGCTCAACGCCCATTGCAGAAGCTGGTGTCACTGGTAGCTCTCAGGCTGCACACCTGGTTTTCATGTTCACCCGCTGTTTTCACTGATTCGGGTGAGACATTCAGAAACCCCCAACAAATGAATCCAGAGCCTGTTTAACAAAGCGCTCTGCGTGCGCAGGGTGGCAAGCAGGGGCACGCGCCCACCTAGTCAGCGGGGGCCCAGAACTCCTCCAGGGTCAGGGCGGGGAAAGCGAGCTCCTCTGGTCCTGGGGCTGCGGGGCAGGGTGGGAGAACCAGCTCCTCCGACCATGGGGGGGCACACTAAGTGCCCTTCCAAAAGTGGCCAAATTTGTATTCCTGTGCATGCCCATGTTGGCAGCCAGGGCAGTAGTGGCAACGTGAAACCATTCAGGCCATCCTGAAATAAGAAATAGACAATGGAGAAAACTTTCTGCCGAGGCAGATCTCAACACAAGCGCCGATTCTGAACAGAACCCCTGGGCTCCTGCTGTGCTCACAAGCACCATGGGAAGATGCCTGATTCCTTGTTTTTTTAAAGCTAGCTCAGTGTTAAAGGCGTGGGAGTCAATAGGGCTATTCAGGACGGAAAGTTAAGACAGTGAGTTCACAGTTAAAGGCTGCATTGTAATGTCTGCACATAAAGGCGCTTACCTAAGCTTGCAGGCAGTGTGGTCCAGTGGCTTTCAGAAATCTGAGTTCTAATCTGGGCTCCTCCAGTGGGCTGCTTAGTCACTTCACCCTTCTATGCTTCAGTTTCCCCCTCCCATGCTTTGTCTATTTAGCTTGTACTGTCTCTTGCTATGTGTTTGTTCAGCACCTAGTGCAGTGAGGCTCTGGGCCCAGCTGAGATTTCTGGGTGTAACATTTGATGTCCTCCCTGCTTAAATATGTGACGGTCACTTTTGACCGTGTCATTTTCTGCCTGGAATTACATTGTGCTATTTGCCATATTCTGCTGCCGAGCACTGGGCCCTCATCTCATATGCCATATAACAACAGTGTGGTAAAAGGGAGTACAGTTAGGGTCCCCTGCCTGGGGCTGGACCTCACCCCACCTCCCGGCTTTGGGGTGAATGCAATCTCCATCTTACTGTTGCAAGTTTCTTGTGGTCTAGTTTCACTTTTGTAATATTCCCATTTCGATGGTGGAACCATGTTTCTTGTCTGGCAGCCGGATAAATTGCTGCAGACAGTAATTCAGGCCCATTATGCACATTTCAGGTCCCATCCTGCAAACACAATGGGGCTACTCACGAGAATGAAATTCCTACTGTTTTTCCAGGATTTGGCCCACCTCTGAGAAATTCCAAACAGAATTCTACCTACAGACTGCAAATAACCCCAGAGACCAGCCATCATTTTAGTGTTTTACTGTAGCCGACCTCCAAGCTCTAAATATACTGGACCAGATCCTCGGCTGGTGGAAACTAATGTACGTCCACAATGCAACTGTGCTGATTTACATGGAGAACCTGGCCCGCAAACATTTCCCTCTCAGCGTATTGAGAAAGGGACATCTCACATATTAACTCCATACTCTGCCTTCGGCTCATTCTAACTTTATTTTAGAGAGCACCCTCCTCCCCGCAACAAAAATGGATTGTCACGATCATCAGCAAAAGCCTTCCTATAAAGTCGTGCTAGAGACCCAACAAGAAGGAAAGAACAGCCTGGCCTTTCGAATGAATTTATAACTTATTGCAAAGGAATTTTGATTTCATGATGGCTTCTCGAACAACTCCCAGGAGAGAAAAGAGCAATCAACAAAGTGCAACCTCCCCCAGGCACGTTTGAATTCTTTAATAGGATTAATACTACAGTTTGAATGTCTTTTCTGCTACCAAACTGCTCACAGAGTGAAAACAAAGCAGTGCTCAGGGTCAGCCATTTACTTGCTGAATAGTTTGTTTTAAAGGACTAAAGCAAAGTTGCATTAAAGTTCCTTAAAATGTGTTTTCTCATGAGCAAGCCCAGCTCAAACACAGCCCTGGAAAGAACAATGCAGATCACATACCAAACTGATCCTTCCCCTTTGGAAGCAAGGCTGCCGGCTGCCCTCAGTCCTGGATCACTGTGCAGTTACCTGGAAATATTGTGTGTCAGACAAAAGGGTCCAACTTGCCAGCGTTGGTTAAACAACTTGCTTTCCCTTCAACCAAGATGGACTCTCTCCCAGCTACTTACATGTGGAGAAGTGCCCACTCCGTTATCCGCACCGTGTGCTCTGGCTTGGGTGCATTCCTGACTGGTGTGCTTATGTGCGCTAGGAGTAAAACTGAACAGACTCAAACCTGACAGGGGCTGAGAGCTCTCTGCTGGTCAGCTGCTCTCACACTGCACAGGCATTCCAGGATCCCTCTTAGGAGACACAAAGAACCACAACAACTGTGCAGATGCTTCATGACTAGCGTAGCAGGAAACTCCTAATCCAAACACTAAAAGTCACCTTCGAATCTCTGTATTGAATTACCTCCCTGTTTGCCCCATACACATCTGTCCGTCTGGCTGGCCCCCATTACCATGGGAGCTGAGAGCCTCATCCATGTTTTTCTCGTCACACACCCCTGTGAGGTAGGCAGGGCTGTGATCCCTATTGTACCGTTGGGGAACGGAGACTGAGAGAGACCAAGGGCACGCAGGCACTTCAAACATTGCACGGGCACCAATTCACACCCATAGTGACATTCACTCGATTACAGCAAGAGGCTCACCGACCATTGAAATTAGGAGGGATATTAACCAGGATCCCTGTAGCTTGGCATCTTCAAGACACTCTCTCAAGGCTGTAAACCCAGCATTTGACCGCAGACTCACCCTCTGCATCAGGTGACACAGATCGCGTGAAGGGCTGGAGCTAAGAGGGCAAAGGTGCCAAGAAATCTAGGGCACGCTAGAGGCAGAGCTCCGAAAAGCAGAGAATGATTGTAATAACTGTAGATCCACAAGCCAGTTTGCAGGGAAAGGCGCTTATCCCAGGCCTGGTTTTGGTGCTTGAAAAGATATGAAAGCTGTGAAACTTGGCTAAAATAAGGGCATTTTTATGTCACTTTCCAGATAGCCATTGGTGACTCCCTGGGCTTGAGTCTCTTCTCCCTCATCACAGCATAAACCAGGAGTAAATGCAATGGTGTCAGAGTTCTAGTGATGTAAAACCCCGTAAGCCAGAGCAGAATCTGACCCAAACAGCCCAGAACCACTGTGAGCTTGTTTTGGTGTCATCCCATCATCCTATAGGCCTTTCCTGCCTAAAGACTGTTCAGCAGTAAAGACTCCAGGCCCGAGTCTCCTTTGCCTCGTACGTCACCTACATTTAGAGACAAGAGAACACGGAATCGCCATATGGTGATGCTACCCTCTTTCCATTCCACTAGTAGCTCTGAAGCACAGGTTCTCAATTTATAAGGCCAGCTAAGGTCTGATTGGGGCGTGGCCCCAGCTGTGGCTGTTTCCCCAATCAGCCGAGGCTTGCTGCTCCCCCCAGCAGCAGCCCTCACGCAGGCTCAGCCCTGTCCCAGGGCTGATTTGAAGCCCTTCAGGGCAGGAACGCCCGCCCACTTCCTGGACACCAATAGGTACAGGCCCACATAACACAGAGAGAGATGCATATGTTAAACAGATGCTACACCTCTACCCCGATATAACGCGATCCGATATAACACGAATTCGGATATAACGTGGTAAAGCAGTGTCCCGGGGGTCGGAGCTGTGCACTGCGGTGGATCAAAGCAAGTTCGATATAACGCGGTGTGACAGACCCAGACCAGTGGGGTACACGAGTCTGGTAGAGGGCAAATATACTGGTCACTGGATGAGTAGTTTTCTGTTCCCTGAGTGACCAGAGCAGGGGCTGCACTAGAGTAATCAGGAACCTGCTAGAACCAGTTAAGGCAGGCAGGCTAATTAGGACACCTGGAGCTAATTAAGATGAAGCTGCTAGAATCAATTAAGGCAGGCTAATCAGGGCACCTGGGTTTTAAAAGGAGCTCACTTCAGTTTGTGGTGGGAGTGTGAGTAGGGTTACCATACGTCCGGATTTTCCCGGACATGTCCGGCTTTTTGGGCTCCAAATCCCCGTCTGGGGGGAAAGCCC